CCCACTGGGGAGCCACAATGTAAAAGTCTGGTGCCAGCGCGTGCTGAAGCCTCGGGGCCATGGGCCGCCCAGGGGAACTCATAAATATTTACTGCACGTGAGGGCAAGGTGGCACCATAGGGGCTGGAATTGCAAGGAGAAAGTGGCATGTTCCTGCTAGGATTTCACACTAATAATTCATATTACAGAGCCTTCGTAACATAGGGACTAGTTGAAAGGCTCCCATTAAAGATTAGTTAGACAGCCAGTTGTGGTGGTGCATACCTTTAATTCCAGTACCAAGGAGGCAGAGACAGGCAACTCTCGGTTCAAGGCCAGCCTGGTCTACAGAGTGAGTCCCAAGAGATCGAGGACTATACAGAGAAAACCCTGTCTCAAAAACAAGACAAAACAAACAAAATGATTAGGCAGAAGCACACTTTATTGCACCCAGGTTCTGCTCAAGTAGAGCTTTATATTTACATGGCTTGAAAGAATTTAAGAGATTTCATTTTTATTATCGAACCAAGCCAGAAGGTGGAAAAAGACGGGGCTGTGATGGTTTTCTGCCTTGGTAGAGAAAACCAACCTTCTTTTTGATTTTTCATAAAAATCGATGCACCTGTATAATGAGTTTTTCAAAGGGTGCATCTTGCTATGAGCCATCTGAGAAATGCTCATTAAAACAGGAGACCCGCGAGGTATATAGAGAGTAGAACAGTTATAACTGTAAGGTTTCTGCCTGCAACATGGATTAAGGTTTATTTTATTGACATCTTGGAGACATTCACTGTCTCTAATTGTATTCCTAGTCAACAGACTTCCATCATGCTGCGGTGTGCTGTCTGATAATCAGTGCCAAAGTGGCTTCGGTTCTTATGCCTAATAGATCCAGAAGGATGGAGAAGGTAGCTCAATGGGAGGACACTTGCCTAGCATGCATGAGACCCCAAGTTCAGTTCAATCCATAGGAACACACACACAGAGCGGGGTGGGTGGATAGACCGACAGACGGACAGACGGACAGACAGAGATTGGCAGCATCATCTATTAAGGAGTAGAGAGTAGTGTAGAACCAGGTACAAACTGAATGGCACTGAATACTCAGGGAGTCGCTGCAACGGATGGAGATCCCCTCCCTTCCAAACTGCCAAGGCAACAACCGTGTGATATATATGTGGCTAAGAGAAACCACTGTCTAGAGATTGTTGACAACTCCTGTGATAACCAAGGAGAGGCAACTGGTTATACTGTGACTTTTGTGAAAGTACTCCTGGGGGAGGGACATTTGAGAGTTACAGAGTCATGGACTTCCAGTCTGTAAGGTTGCAGAAGATTAGTGAGAAGTTGACACGCTGCAGCCCCACTGCTACAGAAAGGGCAGTCCACAGATTTCTGGACCTCTTTTAGGAAACTTGAGAGCCTCCAGGAAGTCAGGGTTAGAACTTTCGATACAATACCTCAATATGGGTTGTTTGTTGTAGATGTTGGCGTGGAGGAAGATTTTCTTACACCTGAGTTAGGAGTCTCTCTATGCTCTACTAACTTCCTTAGCAAAATGTAATTTTAGGAAACTAATGGCTGGGCTATTCCCCAGACTCCAGGGAGCAGCTCGGCTGTCCTCCACCTTCAGGCAGCCAGTAATGGGACACTAATACGATGTGACATAGGGATAAAGTTGAGTTGCTTGACTTTGACTTAATTTCAGTGCACTTTTTGTCCCCCGTGTTTTGGCTGTCCAGTTCCGTGCCATTAACTGGCTTGGTGAAAGCCAAGTGGGAGAAGATCCATGAGTGTAGAATTGTCATGACACCAGCCAAGAGAGACAGTGTCCTCCAGGAACCTCATTAGGAATGCCTAGGGAGGGTCTTGTACTAGTTCCAGATTCCTTCCCGTGTCTGACAGTAGCAGATGCCGGTGTTAGGCAGAATCTTGTTTAGGAGAGAAATGATCAGATCAGAGTAAATATCATAATGATCCTAGCTCATACTTATTTGATGCATATAATGTACCAGGCACTTTGCCAAGGTACATCACACACACGGACCCATTTTGTTCTCATATTGTGTCATCATCTTATTTATGAGGAATCACAGCTTAACCAGGGAGCAGGAGAACTTTGCTTCAGATCCAGTTGGTCTGCTGTGGAGCCCCTTGTCTCCCAGTGATTGGCTATGTTGCGGCCTGCCCCACACGCACTGCTTAAACAGGGGTCAAGAATCATTGAAAGAGGTTTTCCATTATTTAGCCCATGCTCTGATGCCTCAAAGATTATTAATGGGCTTCAGTTAAAGTCAACATTTTTTAGAGGTTTTTAAGTCAGCATTTAATAGGAAGCAAAACGTGGGCTAGCTTGCTTTAAGAATGTCCCTATTGGCGTGTGTTGTAAGAAGTGGGTGCTAAAGGGAGAGGAGGGATGATGGAAAGAGATTTCAGTGCAGCTGGTTAGTGATGCAATCATTTTTCCCCCTTAGCTGATTGTCCCGGAGAAGAAACGAAATAATATGTCAATCCACTTGGTATCTGGAAAATTCTATTCAAATCCTAAGTCCTAGTGCATGATCATAGTGGATGTCGTGGAAGTTTGGAACCCAGTGTCTCCAGAGGCAGCATTATGGGGGAGTAGGACCAGAGGGCAAATGTGGGAGGTGACAGTGTGCTGAGGTGGCTATTAAACATGGAAGTGGACAGAAGGACGGGCCAGCAGTCCTCTGAATTCTGTGTGCATTTGGCAACAGCTTCTCTGAGCAGGTCACGTTTGTTGCCTCTAGCCGCCAAAGGCAGCTGGAGCTGAGTGGTGTTTGGTCTCTGTTATCTCAAGAGGGTATTTACACAGAACTCACTCTGCCCTGTACTCCTGCCTACCATCACAGCCTGTGAAGTACGGTAGCCTTCTAAGACTTCAGCTTCTTTCTGCCCTGCTCTGTTTATGGGGGAAACATTTTTCCAGTTACAGTCGACGAAGACTACTTGGGTGAGCTATGGAATTAAAAGATGACACCCCTTAATGTGGGGAGAAGCCCTAGAAAAGAAACAAGTGGGATTGCTGCCAATCACTCACTTCTTTCTACTTACATCTAGCACCCAGCATTCTTTACCATTGTTACTACTTTTCCTCTTGTGTGGAGTTACCACTTAATGGTAGACTGATATGCTTTCAAAGTAGCTATATTTTTCTCTAAGAATAATGATATTCAAGACAGCCACTTGAAAGAGCTCACTGAACTTTTATTCAGATATTTCTTTCACATATGCAAACTTTCTAAGTCTCACAATTTACATGCAGGAATTTAGACTACCCCCTTCCCCCATACACATACTAACAGACAAATGCCTGCACGCATGCACGGAGCTTTTCTATGAGTTTTAAGATTATACTTTAGAGTGTGTGGTAGAAAGACTTCCCTTTAAATAAGTATAGTTGTATGCATCCATTTATAATATCTGTCTCATGTTTTCTTGCTAGGATATATCATAGTTCACTCAACAAACCTCATGTAAATTGTTTACTGACAAATAAAACACTCTTGGTAGCAAGTGGAGCTTGGCTGACCAGGCTAAACCATACTGTATCTTTGCTATCTTATGCGTGGACTCTTGACTCTTGGCGTTTATCCATAGCTTCGTGGTCTCAGCTCCTCAGAGGAATATTACGTAGGAGGAAGATCAGGAGGATGAGTGTGGGGATCACATCTCTGCCTCTCCCTCTACCCTGTAGAGCTACATAAGCTTAAAATCACTTTATATTTTGAAACCACAGTTTTATCTATTCATGAAGTGATGCAGGCATGTGATATTTAAGGTCTGGTCTACTGATTTGTAGCTCTTCCCTCAAACTAGAGCTCTGCTCTCCTTATCATCACTAATGAAGTCATGTCAGATTTATTCTCCTGATCTTCTACCGTGACCAGCACAATGCCATTAGATTGGGCACTCATCAGTGATGCTTGGAGTGATGGGCCAGGCAGCCATAACATCTGTGTCCAGGGCTTGCTCAGGATTCACCATCTGTGTGGTTTTGTATAAAGCAATGAACCTCAAAAATGTCTGCCCATTACCGTCTTTAGAATTTGTATGCTTGTATACTTATATTTGAAATACTTTAAATCTCCCTCTCTTGTATTAGCATTTACTATTAAAAAAGAAAACTAAACAGTAATCTTGTGTTTGAGAAAGTTCTTTCAACCAATGAAATTGAAGGATGCTCATGGACCAAAAGGGATGCATTACACCTCCACAGTGGAGGTGATAAATATTAAGGGTTTGTTTTGTGTTGTTTTGTTTTCACTCAACTTAGGCCTAAAGATGAAACCACTTTGAATGTGTGACTTAAGACAAATTAAGGAATCTGAGACAAAATGCTTCAGGAAATTTTGTGCTTCCTGTTTAGTTAATGCACACATGTCCTAGGCCAGCTTGGATGAGTTCTTTCAGCATGAGTCATTGTTCTCATTTCAAGGCATCTTACAGATAGTGTCAATTACAACATGCCTTAATTGAGTGGTGCCTTCAAGGACTCCTCAGTGGATGAAAAATCTCAACGTTAGTCCTATATACTCTAGATGCCTAGTTTGTATTATTTTTAATGCATTAAGAAATCCTGTTGAGGTAAGACCATCATTAACCAGTCTTGATTATTATGGACATACACACTAGTATTCTGTAGCTCCAACATGTTTCTCATTTTCATTACTTTTTCTAATTGATTAGACACAACAAAATTCATGATATTTAGTTTTTTTCTTTACAAATTAATAGCCAATAATACATAGGGAATGTTCCAAAGCCTTTTGTCCCTAGTCTCATGTTCTTCCCTACATTTTGGGTGCCCTTGGTGTCTGAACTCTTCAGCTAAGTTTTGTGTTCCAGTAAACAGGATGTATTTCTGGTCTGTATGTAAATCTTTTCTTTTAACCCACAGGAGATGCGATTGTCCCTACTCCCTCCAGGACCCTGACTCACAGTTCTGTGCTCCCTCTTTCTCTCTCACTATACCTGACCACTCGGTTCTTGTCTTGCAGTCCCCAGTCTGTCCCAGATCGCCTGAGGATCCGAGTGAACAAAATCAGTTTACAAGACTATGAAGGACTCCACTATGAAAAAGAGAAACTCCGGGAAGCTTGTAAGTTACAGCACCTACAGGACTTCGTGGGATGGGTCTCTTCAGTCTGGTTCCTCCAGGGCTTCTGGTGGGTAGATTCCTTAGACCTCATGCTCAAAAGTGTAGTTGGAAAAGAGCAAGTACCATGGCAAGTTCTGGTGATGATATATGAACCACGGAAGACAGGAACAATGAAGAAAAACTGTGTAGATAGGCATTCTGATTCATGTGCTCTTGGGTTAGGTACCTCCCTGTGCTCAATCTTATCTAAAAGTAGAAGTGCAGAAAGTCAACACAGAATCATCTAGAAACTTTTGAGCCATCACAAATATCTTCTTGAAGTTTGCCTTATAAAATGCTTCCAGCATACTCAGGGTCATCAGCAGAGTTATTCGGGAAGGTGCATCAGCCCTTTGAGCGCCAATGCTGTTGTAAGATGTAACGTCAAGGACCATGATCCTGGAATGCTAAGGTGGGGATTCATTGATTATAAGGGAGTGTTGTTTCTGAAGTTTCTGAAGTTGTGAATGACTTGTCTGTCAGTGTTTATCTTTCTCATATCCTCGAATACACAGCTAATTGCTAACTTGTATCTCCGAACAGTGCTTATTGTACTATTGGACATTATTTATATGCTGATCACTATTTTAGATCAGTTTCTACACCATGACTGATGTTTAGAGGTTGTTGGGTAAAAGAGATAAGAGGTTGCTATTGTGAGTGCTGTAGATGTTGGCTCTGGGTTCCCTCTCCCTGGTGGGGACCAATAGTCAGATGCAGTAAGATGGGGTAAGAGATAGCAACACTCAAGAAAACAGATATGGGTGCCACTGGAAAGAAAGGACTTCTCAGAACTAGAGTTCATCAAGCCCAGTATTAGGTGGCCCACTGTGGACCTGACTGGAAGGACTCGTAGAAATGGGGGAAACGGACGGCGCTGAGGATGGAGGGCGGCAAAGCATTCCTGGGAGAGTGGCTTCCAAATTCTGGTTGCTTGACACTGTGCGGGCACAGCTGTATCAAATGGAAATCTCTAGCCCATAGAGGGTCTGCCCATGGAGGCCCATGGGATCTGCAGGTGGTGGAGAGCACGGGCCCTGCTCCTGGTGGGTCCTTCCCTGGCTGAGCCTTCTGGGAAGATGTGGCGAGTCCGTCTCGCTGCTCGCTGCTTTAGCAAGCTTCCTCTTTGCAGACATCAGTACCTTCAGTTTCTCTAGCCCCGTGCTCTGCCCCTCACTCTCATTTTCTGTGGCAGGAAAGAGTGATCCGAAGGACAGGACTGGTTCTCTGAACCTCTGCAACTCTTCATTGTGTTAAGAGTCCACAATGGGTTATGTTTTCTAATATAAGTGAGGTCTAAGTGGCAGATTCATACAAAGTCCAATTTAACCCACTGACAGATGTCCGTGGTCATGTACGGTGAGGTATAGTGACAGCTGAATTAAATAGAAACTACTCAGAAAGAGTGATGCTTCCTGCTTTCCTTTTTCGTGGTTCCAAACTAATAACTTCCAATTATTAAAACCATAAAAGATAACGCGTCTTAAATAATGTTTTACAGCCCCCCCCCCATCCACTCTGAAGAAGCTGGCTGGGAGTGGCATACATTTGAAGAGCTTCGAGGCTTATCTGTAACTTCCAATTATCTGTTTTATCTTCTCTCTGCCTCTATCTCTCTGCTGCTGCTAGAGGTAATAGTGATTTGAGGTTTTCCAGGAGGATGACATTTCCTGGCAAGTACTTTCTTGCCTCATCCTATCTGAAATGATAAAACTTCCATCTGAGCAAACGTCTTAAATTGGGAACAGTAACTTGGCATAAGCATAGGACAGATAAATGTAGCCATATATTTGGAACCCATGGGAATGAATAAACTCTTAAAGGGGAACAGAAAAGGAATATATTAAAGATCTGAGTTTGAAAACAAAATCGATTGGAAGGAAAATTTGCTAAGTCAGTCATTTCACTTTTAATAAATGGTGGTGATGCTTTCAAGCTGTGAGTGCATAGGGAATCTTGGCTTTTGAGGTTATGAATTTGCTGACCCTTGCTCTTTTGCCTGGGTTTACCTCACAGCTGACTACAGAGCCACAGAATGGCTGATACAGCTCAAGCCAAATATGAACAAAAGCTAGTTCAAGTTCATAGGGGTGTACATCCCAAAAACACACATTGTTTCAGAAGCATCAATTAAATGAAGTTCCTGGAACACATCTGGATAGAAAGGGTCACCAGAAATGTATTCTGACCTGGATTCCAGAAGAACAAAGGAACTGAGTCCACCCGGGAGGGTCGTCTATTGTCAACAATGTGTCAGCTAGAATAATGGTGTCATACTGTGTTTAAAACATGAGTGTCCTTTCTTGATGACAAGACCAAGTGATTTACCCAGGCAGTGTGGGCTGCTTGCCATAACTTTCTAGTTGATTCTTGCTCTTGTGTCTGGATGATTGTTCATATTTGATTACAATCTTGGATGCTTGTTGTCTAACAAAGCTTGGATGCCTGCTTCCATCTGCAACTTGGGGCTCCTGATAATCCAGCATGGCAGCCTCATTTTTGTCCTCCATATTTCAACAGACAAAAGTAAACCTTTGCCATTTCAGACATCCCCCTTCTGTTAAGCTCCGTCTCTCCCAGGGACTTACCCCTAATATACCAGAATAGGGTATATAAATGTTCAACAATCTAGCCCCCACCCCAGCACTTGTTGATAAATTTAATTACTTAAAACACAGTGTCTTCACTGGTTATGATTTGTCAGTTCTCAGGGTAAAGGTGATGCTTTTCAAGTCAAACCTCTTGTAGCAACAGCAGAAAATCACTTCTACCAACTGAGTGAGGTATTCACATGAGTCACTAATCAAGCAGGATGTAATTACACAGTCCATGTGAAGGGTAAGCAGCCTTTGATACAGTTACAGTTCTAGCTACAAAAGAAAGAGACTTAACTGGACATACATTTCAATGTACAGAATAAGTTGAGTGAGGTTAACATTTACCTGTATCCCACCCAGGCTGATTATACTTTTGATACAAGCTAATGCTTTACATTTTCATCCCATAAACAAATGCAACCTTTATTTGTTATTTACACTCCAAACCTTTGGGGAAAATTAGAGAACTTTCTGGGGAGCACAGACCCCTGACTCAGGGTGCTGTGTCTTGTGTAGGGAGCTCTCACTTCTGCATTGTGACAAGAATGTTACAGAAATTGATCGGAAAAGGGGGCAGAAGACCCAAGGAAGCCGAGAATGACTGGATCCAAGCCAGTCTGAAGGGAATCCCAGAATTCTGTACTAAAGGAATGTGAAGAAAGAGTGAGGCTTGTCTGGGAGACTCATTTCGGTAAAGTCTTGAGTCTCTGGTCAGAAACACACCCTTCATGGTACCTGCTGTCGTTAACTATTCTATTTACTTCATCCTTTCATGTTAATACATTCAATTCAAAATGAATTCTGAAACACTTCAGGACTCTGCAAAATGATAAACCGTGGCCATGTACAGAGAACAAGACAAAGGTCCAGCGAGTCGATATTTACGAGAGACTGTAGAAGAGAGAGCAGCAGGTTTGGGGAAAGCAATGGATGAAAGTCACATTTAAGAGAGAAGCCTCACTAGTAGAAACTCTTATGACCAAGGGGAGCATGACTGGGTGTGAGGTGGGACGGTATAAATGGAGAAACATTATAGACACAAAAACGTTAGGGGAAATTACTTCTATAGAGAACAAGGCAAAGGACTAGGCCTCCAGAAAAGTTCCTGGAAATCAGGGGATATTTGGCTCTTACAACTGTCAACTGTTTGCTTCTCCCCCCCCCCCCCAGTGAGATCTATATGTTCACATCAGGGCTTTCCAGTCCTATATCTCAAGAGAAAATTGGCAGGGATGTGTGGCCCAATTTCTGCAGGCTATAGATCTGATATCTTAGAGGGACCAGTATCTTAAAGTGGCAGGCCCATGTTCTATCATTCATAGCATTTACACACACACACACACACACACACACACACACACACACACACACACACACACACACAGAGGGAGAGGGAGAGGGAGAGAGAGAGAGACTCACACAGAGGGGGATACAGGCATGATTTTATAGGAAAGGAAAGTCAAAGGAGATGTAGGGGATGATGGATATCAAATCTGAGTTGCTGGCTGTTGAGCTGGACTGGGAGGTAGATCGGATGAGCATGGTAGGATGGGGCGAGGCCTCCTTGTATCAGAGGGTGCTTCCAGGTGTAGGTCTCTGCAGCAGAGGTTGACATTCAGATTCTGTATCAGGAACTCATTATCTATGTAAGTCCATGTAGTATGTTGAACCACAGTCTAAGTAAATCGATTTGTCAGGCAGACTACAAGAGACCTGCAGATAGAAGAATCAAAATGGTTGTTTAAAAAATGTTTACAAGTAGGGGTCAGGAAGTCCATGAATGTTAAGTCACATATAGATAGGGGATGGTAGGAAATTGTCCATTAAATGAACTAAGTTAGCTTAGTAACTCTGGCTTTGAACTTGTAGCATTCTAACTCCCCAAACTCACTGACACTATTTAGAGTTCTACCTAACAACACAGGTACAGCTTCCTTTTGCAATTTCAGTTTATAGTTTGTTTTTTTTTCCACCGGCCAGGCATTACATTTTAAGTCGGTAGTAAGTATTGTCTCGTGGCCAGCGTGGCTAGCAGCTTCTCCTAGAATCAGATAAGGATGAGTCTAGGATAATCAGGTAAGCAAATCTTTGGGAGGGACAGAAGTGATTACCATAGCCACAAAAGAAGAAATTCAGGGACCTTGAATTACTATGAAAATTCATAAGAGTCTAAGTACAAATGAAGTCAGTTTGGACCCAATAAAAACAAAGAAGAGGGGTAGCATTTTGTAGTATATCAAATGCACTATTTTTAGTCAGGCAGTGGTGGCCCACACCTTTAGTCCCAGCACTCAGGAGGCAGAGGCAGATGGATCTCTGTGAATTCGAGGCCAGCCTGGTCTACACAGTGAGTTCCAGGGCAGG